ATTATTAATACTATATATATATATATATATATATATATATATATATATATAATGGGCTGGTTTAGTAGATCAACTATTGATGGGTGATTTTTTTATGGTTGGATACAGCATATAAGAAACCTTCGTGTCTCTTCTCAAATGACTGTTCCAAATGTGTGGAGTTTAGAAACACCAAGCGACATGAAAGAAACTTTCCCAGCTGTCTTCAATGATCCAACTTCAAGCACCGGAGATGCTAAAATAACATGTAACTTGTTTCAAAGTGTCTCATTTAATTCCCATCTATTTGATAGCCCAGTGCTTGGTGACGGTTTTTCTGCTTCCCACAGTGAGTTTGATTAGGAGTATGAATTACACTCTCAGAATTGTTCAGAACTGCTTTAAGTTGTTAAAATAACATTGGCTGTTGCAGGATATATACCTAATGAGCACCATCGCGTAGTTGCCGGTGTTTCTCTTGGTTCTGCTGGAAACCTTACTTCTTGGTCCGGAGGGAAACCTGAACCAAAAACTCCTCAACATGTACCACCATTATCAAGAAACATTACCATTAATCAACACTTTGGCAATCAAATGCCACCAGAGCAATATAATGAATGCCACAATAACCAATTTTTGCATGAAAGCACAACTAAAGGGATGTCTTGCATGGCTCAGATGCCTTTCTGCAGCACTGTTAATAACTTTCATAATGCTGACGTGCCTTTTTCAATGGGTCATGTTCAAGTAAAAGATGGGGCAGGAGCACCTGAAGCATTCACAGATCCCAGTATCTATGGTGAGTCTATAGTACTTAATTGATTTGTTCCAGAATATTCATACTTTTTTTCATTTAACTTATTGACTTGACTTTGCAGGTGATACTAGATTGATGTTTGATTGGAAGTTTTCTTCTTTAAATGTGTCCAGCGTGCCTGTATCACCATTTGTTTCAAGCATAGATTCCAAAATTATGAAGGGACGGTTTATAGGTTCTAACTTTGAATTGACCGACATGATCAGTATGCAACACCCACCACCTGGTTCAGGAAGCCTCCTTCAGTCCTATTTAAAAGCACAGGTGCATGATTCACAGCAGGGGCATTTGTGTCAAATCAAGCAAAAATGTATGGGCTCACAACCATCACTGCAAGGGCCTCATCCACCATATGATCCATTTGTTCAGCATCAATTCTTGCAAAAGGATCAATATCAACAACAGGAAGAAAACAAAGTTGGAAATCAGGATTTTGCGTCATCACATTCAGAAAGCTTTTTGAATGGGCCACGTCTAATGAACAGTCAAAATTTATTGGACGTAGTGCCAATTGAGCCCCTGGCTATCCATGACGTCATTAAGCATGAGCAACCTCCACCAATGTTCGAGGGTATTGCTTCTGACGTTGACCATTTAACTACAATCCCACAAAGGCCAACACGATTCCAAGCCATCCACAATGTCTTATTCCTATACGAACATGTTAGGAACTGTCAGGATGATGGGAAAGGTTGCATCTTGTTGCAGTGCATGAACTTGAAAAGGAATCTTCATCACATTTTACATTGTAAAGATGCTAACTGCACGAAGAATTGCTTTAAATACAAGAGGCTGTTTGATCATTATACAGAGTGCTGTAAAAGTTTATGTAGTATTTGTGGTCCTGTAAGAATGAGACTCAAAGAAGTTTCTCAGAGGAATTTTAGTAATGCCTTCACTGAACCAGAGACTACTTTGCCTGCTGTTCCAAGGCCAGACCATAAGGAATCCGCCTTTAAACGTGCAAAAACTATGCATCATTTTGATCAAAATGGAACTCATCATGTATCTCTACCGGTCATGAATTGCAGTCTTCTAACTGACACAGGAGTGTCCCAACTAGGTCAAGAGGTGAGCATACCTGTAGATATGAAAACTGACAGTCCAGAACCAGTGGAAAAGCAATCTGTGGATTCCAATTTTAGAGATTCTGGAGAAATCTATGACACAAAAATTGAGGATACTGAAGTCAAGATCCAAGAAGGTTTTGGTGTTGAGCCTGCTGAGTTAGCACAGGTGGTTACACATTCTGAACAAGAAAACCTTGTTCAGCTTGAGTTTCTCGAGGCTGATATCAGTAGTCAGTGTGACATCACTCTAGCAGCAGCCGCTAAAGTGTCTGAAACAAAGATGGACAACCCAAAAAGAGTTGTTTCTCTGCTTGATACATTTACTGCAGAAATGCTTAGGGAACATATCAGAAGTCTTGAGCAACACATTAGCAAGGTGTGTCTCCAACTTACTGGAACTAAGATTTTGTGTTTCTCATGCTTATGAATCTAAGAGATGTCTAAACAAAGGATCCAAAGAGGACACTGTTCTGCAGGTTTCTATATTGAATGAGTTTCACATATTTTTCACCCATGATTTCACATATAGCCTCAGATTGGCCTTAAAATAGTATATTTGGTGACTAATTTTGAAATTTTAATTACCACTTTGGAGTATCTATTATTATGTAAAGTTTTATGTTTTGACTAGTCAAAATTGGTGGCAGCTTTGTGCTAATAAATCTATATTTATATTAGCTCTATCAGAGCATTGGATTTATAAATTCTCACAAGTGATACATTTCGGGTGTTTCAATAAAACGACAATCATTTTCAAATAATATTTTGGTGTAACATGCTAATGCTGTATCTTGCATGAGATGTTGTTTGGCTAAATTTTTCATGTTGTGAAGTCTTTTATTCAAATGAAATTATGTATTCTTTTCTACAAGATATATGTTGTATGATGCTACTTTTGTATATTTTTTAAAACTCTTTTCCATGAGGAGAACTGCAATAATTAAAATGTGTATGTAGGCCTAGCATTGAAGCCA